TCTTCGGTGCGCTGCCAGTGCGTGCGTGCAACCGACCGCGTCGCGTGCGTGCGTTGCAGATTACGTCGCGAGTATCTGTGTGTGCTGCGTGTTGCGTGCGTTTGTCGTGCGTTTCGGGGGTGCGACGTGTAGTTTCTTTGTTGGGGGGTTAGGCTTGTGTACTTTGTTTGTTTGCGCGCGGCGGCGCGCCGCTTGTTGGGAAATGGGAGGAACTAGAGTTTATTTTGTCATAAGATAGTGTGATTATGCATGACACGAAGTATTTGCTAGTCTAGTACTGGAGAAATTAGCGTTTGGATGCGCATTGTGAGCCTTTAACCTCACATATGACATTATAAAATTCCAGAACATTCCAGATTAATGTTTAGACTAATTCTGTTTCTAACAACGGGTCCTTTACTTATGATAATCGTGTTAAACTGTATCGATATAATACAGGGGAAGCCCATGTAGTGTAGCTAGAAATGTTACTGCATACGTGCAGGGATGCTTGCAGAGACGCAGAGATAGGAGAGAGAAGATGCAGGTTATATATTGCAGCTATTACGCAGGAATGCTAGTCCCGGCTGTTTTACTACGTGGTTGTTGATTGCAGGCTATAGAACTGACGCGCTCGTGGATCGGCAAGTGGCAGGAGACCCACGAGATAATGAAGGTGAGAGACGGCGCCGGGAGAAGGTGGGGATGGGAGAGGGGAGGAGGAGGAGGGAGAGGTGATGAGTTGTTAGATCACTGCGGGTGTAGTTGATAGGAGTCATTAGATCGCTAATTAGGGCTCCATTGTTAATTGTTTCATTAGTGGTAATTGCGTGTGCGTGTGCGCATGCTCCACAGTCGTTCTGGGAGCGGATGTGTTGTTGTTGTTGTTGTTGTTACTGCTAACGTTGACAGTGTCAGGAGTAGTATCACGTGAGAAGCAGAGAGATAGAGAAAGAGAGGGGGCCAGAGAGAAGGGGAAGAAAGATGGAAGAGGGAAGGGCGCGAGAAAGGAGATGAAAGGGGATCGGGAGACACAAGAGGAGAGAGAAGAGGCAAGGGAGTGAGAAAAGGCAGAGAGAGAACGAGGTATAGATAGAAGGGGAAAGAGAGATAGAAGAGGGAAGAGAGCAAAAAATGGTAGTGAGAGTGGAAAGTGAAGAAATGAAACGAGAGATGGGAGAGAGAGATTGGGACACAGAGATAGATAGACGGGAAAGAGATAAGGAATGAAGAGGGGGAGAGAGATAGAGGGGAGAAAGAAAGGAAGTGGAGAGGGAGTCAGTGAGAAAGATAAACAGATTCATAAATGAGGAATGACTCCCCCGGCGACACCAATCAGAGCAGAGCAAACAGAATGTAATTAATTTAATTAAAAACACTGACGCATCATTCGAGCGCAGTATTTATTTCACTCCAATGATCTGCTTACGTGTCGAGAGTGATCAGTGGAAGCGGTCACCAGAGAACACATTTAATTAAATATCCAATCGACTGCGGAATGAAGAAATCGGCAGTGTGAATACACGTGTGCTTTCTCAACAGTCTCTTCATAATTGTAAAAGGTTTTCACTTGTCAGTAATCGTTCCCACGCCAGTGTGTAGGTAGCTCTGGGATCGCTTTGTGGTTGTTTGTATGGTTGCTATTGGAGACGGCAGGCGTCTGTTGCTACCCCCATGTACCACCTCCATGGCGATGAAAACCTATTATCTAACCCTGTGGTGTTCTCCGAGTCTAAACAATAATTTTTTTAAATCGATCACTTAAAAGTCGGGCGCAATATCTGTGGTTGGATTGGGGGTTATATCTAATTGGTTTGCAGAGGAGGGTGATGTGTGAAGGGAGAGGAGAGGGGAGGGAGGCGTGGAGGAGGAATAACGTGATGGAAAGGAAGATGAGTTGTAGTGGATTTCCTCATTATACGATATACATATATATATATATATATATATATATATATATAATATATATATATAAATATTATATACATATATATATATATATATATATATTATAATATCAGGAGTGAATAATAGAGATGCATGCATACAGTAGGAGAAGATCACGTTCCAATTCTTTCATGTGATGCGGGTGGCGCCACCTGCAGGCAGCAATGACGTCACCATGTGTGTTTACAGGAGTCGGATATGAGCGTGAGGAGGGAGAACAGGGGAGTGATCCTGGAATCCCAGGTTCCGCACCTCATCGGGCTGGACGATGACGTACTCAGCACGGGCCTGATCATCTATAACCTCATGGTGAGAGAGAGAGAGAGATGCTCACTTGTTATACACCCACCCGCCTGCGCGTATACGGGGGGGGGGGGTGTGCTGCGGTAGCAACGCGGGAGAAACGTAGAGATGCGTTGTGCTCACGTGTGTTTGATGCAAACGCTATATCCATTTGTTCTGACAGGAAAAAAAACATTGGTTCTTATTATTTCACTATTGTTATGAGCATTATTGTTCCGCTGTCATTATAATAATTGTTTAATTATAATTATAATTAATTTATTACTGTCTTTATTATTATTATTTTTATTAATATTAATAATATTAGCATCATTATCATAATAATAATAATTATAATTATTATTATTATTTTAGGAGGGAAAGAACACCGTAGGCAGAGTGGATGCACCCGTAGCTCAGGACATTGGTAGGTGGCGCCATCTAGCAGTACTTAAAAAACAAACCTATCAGCATGACATGATCGGCATCCTATGAACCTAATGAGAAAGCTAATGAGTTGAGCTTGAACTAGAACGCCAATAAGATATAACATATCTCGCAATAATATTTAATTGATTATATTAATATTTAATTTTGTTTAGCACGTGTTTTCGTTGCTATAGAGTATAGACTGTTATCGGTAGACTAGATTGATGTTTACAGTAAACACATATATTTGTTGTGGTTGTTGTTGCTGTTATTTTGTCGTTGTTGTCGTTGTTGTTGTTGTTGTTATTGTTGTCGTTGTTGTTGTTGTTGTTGCTGTTGTTGTTGTTGTTGTTTACAGTTAGCACACAGTGTTTTGTTGTTGTAGTAGTTGTTGCTTTTGTTTACAGTATAAGCACGCTGTACATTGTTGTTTTTGTTTTTGTTGTTGTTTACAGTTTTGTACGGACCGAGCGTAGAGGCAGAACTCTGTACCCTGCTTAACGAGAGCGGGGTCGTCACGCTGTGTCCTAACCCTGATGGTCACTGCTCTATCAACGGCATAGACGCCCTGCATCCC